AGCAAGGAGTTGGAAACAACCTAAGTGCCCATCAACGAATGAATGGATAGAGAAGCTGTGGTATATTCGCACAATGAAATACTATGCTGCATTAAAAAACAAGGAACTCATGCAATATTATTCAAAATGGGTGACTCTGGAGGACATTATGCTGAGTGAAATATCTCAGTCATAAAAGGACAAATACTGCATAGTGCCACTGTTGTAGAATGGGACTGACATCATGGTTGGGGTAAGACGTGGAAATATTGGATAAAGTATATAGATTACATTGAAGCAGATGAGGGAGAGAATAGTTTAAAAGCAATATATGATTAGGTATTATGGTCATGACAAGAGTCCAGAGTGAAGGCTGCATAGTGGAGTGTACTCGGCAGGTAGGGAGATTGTATACCAGTCAAAGAATTTTTATTTTCTTTTTCAAAGAGAAGAGCAAACTGAGGGGGAGGAGTGGGCAGGGAGAAAAATATGCAACAATTAATGAATGGAAATCTAAAATCTGTGTAAATGTTCATTAAAATGAATACATTTTTTTTCTATAATTATATTTTATTAATTTTCATAAACATTTACAGAGATTTTGGGCTTCCACTCATTCATTGTTGCACTATTCTCTCTATAAATGAATACATTTTTTAAAAAAGAGTTGCTTACTCATATTTTCAGAAATGCTGTGTAGTAAAATACTGCTTTTTATCAGCTTTCCCCTCCTTATGTGACTGAGCAAATCCCTTGACTTCTATACCTCAACTTCCATCTGGGTCTACCTGGATGTTCATAAATTAATCTGACAGTTGTCATTGAAGTGCACTCAGTTTGTGCCATGGCTTTCCAAATATAATTAGTGACAACTTCCTAAAACCAAAGCTCAGGAAGAGTTAATAGAGTTCTCCAAAATTGTGCAATAGATGCAAATAAAAATAAATGGACAGACTTACAGAGCCTTGAAGAGGGTGGAGCTAGAATAGTAGGGAAGGAAAACCAGAAGGAAAAAGCTGAGTAAGACATGTTTACCAGAGCTTTTATATTCTGCCCTCCACTAAGAAAAGAGACCACTGGGGATCTTCCAAGAGCCTGGAGCTGTTGCCGCCCTGCACAGAGGCCAACCCAGACGCGAGTGTGACCAGGGCAGCAGAGAAAGGTCAGTAAGTATTCTGATGAGGGAAGGGTGACAAGGGCAAGAGGGAGCCATGGCCAGCTTGTGGAAGGTCAGGGGCATATCTTTCTTTGGAAAGATAGCTTAGGCTTCTCTGGAGAAAGGCACTTGGAGGGAGAGAAATTGAAGTAGGAAAGATCTAAACGTTAACAGAGCTGTGGGTGGAAAAGTTTTTGGAGGGATCTTGGCCAGGGCTTACCGGCCAACCAAATGATTTGGATGGTAAGAAAGAGAAAGAGGCTCTATAATCACGTCTCAGGTGCTTCAATGACAGAGTCCAAAGGGACAGATATGTAACAGGTGGGATGTAAGGACAACATTTTTAGAAAAAGGGAGAAGGGGCTATCTTTTTAAAAAATTTATTATTTTGTGTGTGTGTGTGATCAAATCGGATCTGACTTGTAGAGGAGGAGATTGCCCCCTCCTTCTCCAGCAGAGCACCTGGTGGATTCAAACCGCATACCTCTGGGATTTCAGTGCAGCTTCTTGCCACTAGGCCACCAGAGCTCCCTGGGGGCTATCATTTTTGACTAGGCACCTCATGTGACTCCCAGCACTTGGTTGGGTGACTGCTTTAATTTGACAGTTTTTTCTGCTGAACCTCAGACCCAAGGGTATCTGCTGTTTTCTCTTCTTTCTGAGGGAGCTTCATGTTAGACAGAGCTAATGGAGGAGGTCAGAGTTAGGAGGGGGTGGAGGGAGAAGCAGCTGTGTTACAGAGAACAGAAAGGCAAAAATGTGAGGAAGCAAATTGACATGATGTCTAAGTGCTTGGCTGCTAACCGAAACAGGCTTCATGGAAGAAAAGATCTGTTGATCAGTTCTTGTAAAGATTACATCCTAGGAAACGCTATGGGGCAGTTCTACTCTATCCTATAAGGACCCTAAGAATTAGAACTGGCTCAACAGTGCACAGAAACTACCATCAGTTTGAGAAGACACTTGCAGGACCTACCCATTAATCCCAGTTGCCCTCCTGAGCCCTCCAATATTGGAATTGAAGGATCCCTCTTTGTCAATCTTCTTTACTCCAACTTCAGGGACCATCAAGTCATTAGCACTGAAGGGACAGGGCTGACCCTATCTCTCACTGTGGGGGTGGGAAGACTGAGGCAAGTGAAGGAGGTAAACTGCAAAGCATGTGTTCTTTCTCACTAAGCCTTATGCATCAGAATTGACAGTAATGGCTTTTGATTTGGGGGTGCTTTGGTTTTTCTAACCACGAGCTGCTCCCTGCAGGGGCAGAAAGACATGGCCTGGGAAGTGACACCACTTCTGCTGCTTGTGGCATGCGTAGCCACCAAATGTAGTGCTCGGGACAGGACAGACCTGCTGAACGTCTGTATGGATGCCAAGCATCACAAGATAAAGCCAGGGCCCGAGGACAAGCTGCACGACCAGGTGAGGATGTGGTGTACCTCTAGACTGGGGAAGTGGCTGGTTCTGACAAGAAGAGGAAATCAGGGTGGGAAGAGAGGAGCTGAATGGCTAGAAACCCTCATGCGCCAAGCTACTGCTGTGTGAATGGCTGATGGTTGGGTGACTGAAGTGATTCTTCAAAAGCACCCTTCAAAAATGGCCCCATATCAGCAATAATATGGGGAAGTAATTTGCTGGGCATTTCATAGGTGCCGTGTGTTGTCTGTATGTGGTTTTATGTTCCCAATGGGCTTTTGATGTAGGACAGTGATGTTCTTCTCCACAATATGTAAATGAGGAACCTGAGGCCCAGAGAAATTCATGGACATTTACACAAATTAGACATGAGAGCCCTTGTGGTGGAATAGGAAGAGGGTTGAAGAAGGTTCCTCAGGGATTTAGAGGGTGTGAAACTGTGGGGCAGATGGCTCCTTCTCCTTTCATTACATGCCAGTCCCATGGAGTGCCAAGAGTAGTGGAAGAGAAGGCTCTTCACACAATGATAGAGAGCCGAGGTGCTACTATCTATAGCTGGGGAGTGGGGAAGCTCATCTTGGTAGATCTCAGTCCCATTAGTCTCAATGTCTTCTCTCCATGACATACAATCTGTAGACCCTTTATTATCCCAGAGTTAAATTTAGAGCTAATGGAATATGTTGTGGTTGTTATGTACCAAAAAGTGGGAACCAACCCATAGCTGACCCTCTTCTGGTGGGTTTTCAGAGGTGGTTAATCTCATGGGAGGAGATTGTCCATCCTTCTCTCATGGAGAAATCTGTTGGATTTAGTAGGATATATATTTTTTTATTTTCTATATATGTAATATGTACTTTTAGGTGTGTGGGTAGAGAATTGTTCTGAGTGGTACAGCCCTTTGTTGTCAGTTTGCTGTATTGAGGTAACTTGGGGTTCTTGTGACACTGAACACTGTACCACTGGTGTGTCAAATGCCATAATGGTTACCTATGGCGGACAGGGTTTAGTAGACTTCCCAGATTAAGACAGACTTGAAAGCAGAATTGACATCCACTTCTTAACAGGTTTCTTTGGAAACCCTATGAACATTAGAGAAACTATGATAGTTATAGAACAGGGTTCAGATTTTTTGTTCTTTGGGTTTCTATGAGTCATACTCAACTTGAGTATACACTTAACAACAACATGTATATTTAAATAAAAATATTTTTAAATGGTTCAAAATTTTAAAATATATTTAAATAAAAATAAACATATGTTAAATATATCTGACAGAGTGTGGAAATTATCAAACAGTATCACTGATATCACATGCAAGCAAGATTCTGCTGAAGATTATCCAAAAACGACTGGAAGAGCACATCAACAGAGAACTGCCTGAAGTGCAGGCTGGATTTAGAAGAGACCATGGATCTTGGCTGAAAGCAGAAAGTACCAGAGGAATGTCTATTTGTGTTTCATTGACCAGGCAAAAGCATTTGACTGTGTGGCTCACAACAAACTGTGGTTGAAGAATGGGAATCCCAGAACACTTGATTGTGCCTATGTGAAACCTATACTTGGACCAGGAGGCAGTCATCAGAACAGAGCAAGGAAACACTGCATGATTCAAAATTGGGAAGGGTGTGCATCAAGGATGTGTCCTATCTCCATATCTTTTCAATCTATATGCAGAATAGATTAACCAGGAGGCTAGGCTTGATGAGGAAAAGTGTGGCATCAGGATTGGAGGTAGACTCATCAGCTGTCTGTGTTATACAGATGATGCAACCCTGCTTGCTGAAACTGTGGAGGACCTGAAGCACTTGCTGCTGAAGGTCAAGGACTGAAGCCTTCAATATGGATTGACGCTCAACCTCAAGAAAACAAAGATTCTCACCACTGGGTCTATTGGCAATATCATGATAGATGGAGAAGAGATAGAGATTGTTGACAGCTTCAGTTTGCTTGGCTCTACAAGCAATGTTCTTGGTACCAGCAGCCAGAAAATAAAAAGACTAATTGCATTGGGAAAGTCAGCTGTCAGAGACCTCTGCAAAGTACTGAAGAGCAATGATGTCAGTCTGGAGACTAAGGTACGCCTGAAACAGGCCATAGTCTTTGCAATTACTTGCTATGCATCAGAGAGCTGGGCAATGACTAGGGATGACAGAAGGAGAGTTGATGCCTTTGAGCTCTGGTGCTGGAGAAGAGTACTGAATAAACCATGGACTGCTAGAAGAACAAACAAGTTCATCCTGGAGAGGGTGAAAACAAGCTGCCCCTTGGAGGCAAGGATTCTGAAGCTTCGTCTGACATACTTTGGACATGTTGCAAGGCAGGATCAGTCTTTGGAGAGGGATGTCATGTTTGGGAGGGTGGAGGGACAGAGCAGGAGAGGAAGACCCTCAATGAGATGGACCGATTCAGTCACTGGGGTAATGGGGGTAGGTGTGTCAGAGACAGTAAGATTGGCAAGGGATAGAACAGGGTTTAGGGCTGTTGTACATAGGGCCATTATGAATCGCAGGCAACAGTACATAACAACAACTATTTATTTATTTGTGTGTGTGTGTGTGTGTGTGTGTGTGTGTGTGTGTGTACTGTCAAATAAGATCTGACTGGTACAGAAGAGATTGTCCCTCCTTCCCCGGCAGAGTATCTGGTGGATTCGAACCGTGCGCCTCTGGGATTGTAGTTGCAGCTTCTTGCCACTAGGCCACCAGAGCTCCCCTTACAACAACATATAATCTATAAATTTTGGCAGCCTAGTGGTAAGAAACTGCATTGCAATCCCAGAGGAATGCAGTTCAAACCCACCAGCAGCTCCATGGGAGCAGGATGGACAATCTCCTGCCGTGCAACTGACTGCCCCTGAAAACCCACTGGAGGGTCAGGTATGGGTCGGTCTGACTCGACAGCAAACAACAACAACAATCTATAACTAAACCTATACGTATACACATATACAAATACACACACACACACACACACACACACACTCATTGGGTCAACTTCAGCTCATGGAAACCCCATGGTTTTCAGTGACTGACTTTTCAGAAGTAGGTCTTGAGGACTTTCAGCGGAGGCACTGCTCCATACACTTAACCTCCCATCCTTTGGTCAGCAGGCAAGTACTTCACTCCACTGGCAACTGTGAAATTGCACATGCTGGCTTTCAGTCACAAAACCTCTATGAGTGTGGCATCTATAAATGAAGATTAAGAACAGAGACAATTGCCCTTAAGTCACTTCTGACTCATGGTGAGTCATGGTGTCAGAACAGAACTGTGTACACAGGAACTTCCGTAACTGTGGCCTCTTGGAGGCAGGTCAGCAGGTCTTTCTTCCAAGGTGCTCTGGGTGGGTCTCACCTGCAAACTTTTACAGACAATGTTGGGTGGAGCTCCCAGTTTAAGACAGGTTTGGAAGCAGGAGTGGCATCCACTTCCTAAACCTAAACTACATGCCTCTGAAAACCCTATGAACTTGGAGAAATGATGATAGTTATAGAAAGGCTTTAGGCCTTTTGTTCACAGGGTTGTTATGAGTTGTGCTCAACTTGATGGCAATCAACAACTACAACCAAGTGCTTAATCATTTGCACCACTCAAAGATTGATACAGGTGTGTATGATTGACAACATAAATACTTTAAGAAGCAATAAACAGGATGACCATTGATGACAACCTTTTGAAATAGTCAATAGCTCAAAACAAGAGGTATAATTCAGCCTTCCATTTTACAACATTTACAATTCTGGAAAATATAGTCTATAGTAAAACCTCGCTAAACTATATAGTATATTTACATAAGATGATGTTAGGTGCCATCAAGTTGATCTTGTTGTGACACCATGAACAAGAGATCTGAACCTTGCCCTATCCTGTGCCATCCTTATGACCTCTGTCTTCCTCAAGCCCACTGTAATAGTTAGTGTTTCAGTCCATCTTGTTGAGGGTCTTCTTCTCTTTCACTGACCTTTCTCAGCATATCTCCCTCCAGGGACTAGTTCCTCCTAAAAATATGACCAAACGGAATGAAATGAATTTTCCCCATCCCTGCCTCTATGGGACACCTTAGTTGCACTTCCTTCAAGACACGTTTGTTTGTTCTTTTGGCCATCCATGAAATATTCAATACTCTTCACCAACATTACAATTCAATGGCATCAATTCTTCTTTGGTCTTCCTTATTCATTGTCCAACTTTCAGATGCAGAGTAAGCAATTGAAAATACTATGGCTTGGATCAAGTGCATATGTCATTAAACTAACATTCTTGCTCTTTACAATTTTGGAGAGGTCCTTGACAGTACACTTTCCTATTGCAACACATCTTTTGATTCTTTTTTTTTATCTTTTGATTCTTGATTGCTAGTACCAAGTGTGTTGATTGTGGATGCAATAGAAATAATTGACAATATCAATCTTTTCTCCATCTATCATGGTGGACCATGTTTGGTGGAGCTCCCCAATTAAAATATGCTTAGAAGCAGGAGTGGCATCCATTTCTGAAATAGCTTGCCTCAAGAAACTATAAACTTGGAGAAACGATGAAATAGGGTTGCTATGAGTTGTCTACAACACAATGGCACTTAACAACAACAACATCATGATGTTGCCTATTGGTCCAGTGGTGAGGATTTTTGTTTTCTTGATGTTGAGGTGTTACCCCTATTGAAAGCTGTAATCTTTGATCTTCTGCAGCAATTGCTTCAAGGTTTTGTTTGGTTGGGGTTTTTTGTTTTTATTTTTTTCACTTTCTGCAAGCAAAGTTGTGCTTTCTGCATAACACAGGTTGTTGATTAGTCTTCCTCCAATCTTGATGCCACATCATTCTTCTTTATATAGTCAAGCTTCTCAAATAATTTGCTAAGGAGACAGATTGAATATGGTATGGAGAAAGAATACAACCCTGACTCATACGTTTTCTGACTTTAAACCAGGTAGTGTTCCCCTTGTTTTGACAAGTGCTTCTGGTTCTAGGTATAAGTTTCAAGTGAAAACATTTAAGTGTTCTGGGATTCCCACTCTTCTCAATGTTAGCTATAATTTGTTATAATCCACACAGTCAAATGCCTTTGCATAATCAATAACACACAAGTAAACATCTTTGCAATTTTCTATGTTTTCTACTAAGATTCACCTATCGTCAGCAATGATATCCCTTGTACCACAGCCTCTTTTGAATCCAGCTTGAATTTTCGACAGTTCCCTGTCGATCCAGCCATAACTAAATAATACTCAGCAAGATTTTATTTGCATGTGGTATTAATAATATTGTATAACAATTTCCACATTCTGTTGGATCATCTTCTTTTGGCAATAGGAACAAATATGGATTTCTTTTAGTTAGCTCATCAGGTGGCTGTTTTTCATATTTATTTGTAGTGGCTGGGAACATGTCCAGCATTCATTTGCTTCTTTTTTTTATTTTATGAAATTTTATTAGTTTTAATGAACATTTACAGGGATTTTGGGTTTTCATTCCTTCATTACTGCGCCATTTTCTCTACCCTCCTCCCCAGTTTGTTCTTCCCCACCATCCGAATGTCTGTTTTAATTGTCCAATTGCCACAGTGCTTGTCAAAGTCAGTTCTGATTAATCTCCTTTGTCGGTGTGTCCTTTGCCATTCCCTATCACTCCTCCCTGAGAGAGACTTCACCCTGAGTCATAAGGAAAAGGGGATGGCATATTCTCTTAGCTACTTCCTGCTGAAAAGGGATGCTGTGGGTTTCAGGGTGAAGATCTTCTCTCACTACTCTAAAGGGCCCCTTTGGCAGTAGGAAACACATAGACTATTATGGAGATTGATTTTGGAATTTAGATGCACTGTTATTAATTGTGCTTAGCCGTACATGTTCATATCCTAGAAGATGTATCATGGGGGGGTTGCAACCTAGAAGACACAAATTTAACTAACAAGTTATAAGTACATGAGTCAAAAATTATGGAAAAGTAAAAGAAAAGATTCTTTCATTGTTTTACAAACCCTCCCCCAGGTCCCCTCCACCATGTAGCCCTCGCTCTAGACTCCTGTGATGACAGAAATACCTAGTCACATATCTCTTTTACACAGTTTTCTCCCTCCTCTGTTTCAGTGCAGTATACATTATTGAACACATCTTACTCAGTCTCTCCCCAACCCTGAGGTTAGTCCCATTCTACAACAGTGGCATCAATTCATTTGCTTCTTGAAACACCTCAGCTGATATTCTGTCAGTCCCTGGGGATTTATTGTTTGCTAATGCCGTCAGTAACAGCTTGGACATCTCCCTTCAGTACAATTGGGTTTTGATAATATGCTATTTCCTGAAACAGTTCTGTGTGGACCAGCTCTCTTTGGTAGAGTGACCCTGTGGATCCCTTCCATCTTCTTTTGATGTGTCCTGCATCTTTCAGGATTTTGCATACAGAATCCTTCCATGTTTCAACTTAAAGCTTGATTTTTTTTTCCAATTTTTTCAGCTTGAGAAATGCTAAGCATGTTTTTCCTTTTCGGTATTCTAATACCAGATTCTTGCATGTTTCATTATAATACTTTGCTTTGTCTTCTCAGACTGCACTCAGGCTGAAATCGTCCATTCAGTTCTCTTACTTTAGCTTTCCTTCCTCTTGTTTTGGCTTCTCTTCATTCCGATGCAAGTTTCAGAGTGTCGTCTGACATCCAGTTTGGTTTTTCTTTCTTCCCAGTCTTTGTAATGACCTTCTGCTTTCTTCATGGATGATGGCCCTGATGCCATTACACAACTCATCTGATCTTTGGTCATTAATGTTCAGTGCCTCAAATCTGTTCTGAAAATTATTTTAAAGTCAGGTGGGATACAGTCAGACTCATATTTTCATTATCATGGACTTGTTTTCATGTCATTCAACTTCAATATAAACTTGCATATGAAAAGTTGATGATCTGTTTGACAGTCAGCCTCTGGCTTTGTTTTGACTGCTGAAATTGAGTTTCTCCCATGTCTCTTCACACAGATGTAGTTAGTCTAATTCTTGTATAAGTCATCAGAAGAAGTCTACATATATCACTGCCATTTGTTGTTTTTTTTTAAATAATGTATTTGACATGAACAAATCATTCATTGTAAAAAAAAGATTTGTCCTGGAAAGGGTTAAACCGGGTGGCTCCTTGGAGGCAAGGATTCTGAGGCTCCATCTCACATACTTTGGACGTGTTGTGAGGAGAGACCGATCCTTGGAGAAGGACATCATGCTTGGAAGGGTGGAGGGATGGTGCAGGAGGGGAAGGCCCTCTATGAGGTGGATTGATTCAGTGACTGGGATAATCGGGATGAGAGTGTCAGAGACAGTGCGATTGGCACAGGACAGAGCAGAGTTTAGGGCTGTTGTACATAGGGTTGCTATGAGTCGCAAGCGACTCGATGGCACATAACAACAACTATCATGATGCTGCCTATAGGCCAAGTGGTTAGAATTTTTGTCCTCTTGATGTTGAGATATAATCCATATTGAAGGTTGTAATCTTTGATCTTCTGCAGCAAGCAATTCAAGCCCTCTTTACTTTGAGCAAGCAAAGTTAGGTACTCTGCATAATGCAAATTACTGATGGATCTTCCTCTGATCTTCATGTCACATTCTTCTTCATAAAGTCTAGCTCACCAGAATATTTCAGGGCAGCTTGAAAAGATAAAGTATTATGATGCAATATGCAAAGAGCTGGAGTTGGAGAATAACAAGGGAAGAACTCACTTGGTATTTTTCAAGCTGAAGGAACTGAAGAATAAATTTAATCCCTGAGTTGCAATACTGAGAGATGCTATGGGCAAAATCTGGAATGATCCAAGAAGCATCAAAAGAAGATGAAAGGAAGACCCTGAGTCACTGCCAAAAAAAAAAATGGTTGACATGGAAATATTTCAGGAATTAGCATACAATAAAGAGCCAATGATAAAAAAGGAAGAAGTTCAAGTTGTGCGAAAGGCAATGGCAAAAAAAAAAGCCCCCGGAATCTATGGATTCCAACAGATATGTTTCAACTAACAGATGCAGTCCTAGATGAGGTTACCAGTCTGTGCCAGGAAATTTGGAAGACTACTGCCTGGTCAATTGACTGGAAGAGATCTATATTTGTTTCCATTCCCAAAAAAGTTTACCCAACAGAACACAGAAATTATCAAACAATATAAAAATACTGAAGATCATCCTAAAATATCTACAGCAGTAAAATGACAGAGAATTACCCGAAATTCAAACTGGATTTGGGAAACAATGGCAGCAGGGATGTCATTGCTCTTGCCAGATGGATCTTGGCAGAAAGCAAAGAATGCCAGAAGAATGTCTGTTTGTATTTTGAAATGCAAAGGCATTTGCAAATGCAAAAGTATTTGACTATGTGGATCATAAAAACCCATGGTTAACATTGAACAAAATGGGAATCCCAGAACATTTAATTATGGTCATATGAAACCTTTATCTAGACCAGAAAAATGGAACATGCATGGTTTAAAATAAAGAAAAGTGTGTATCAGGGCTGTATCCTTTCTCCATACTCATGTGATTTATAGCCTCTGAAAACTTACTGGAGGGTCAGCTATGAGTCAGTTCCAACTCAATGGCAATGAGAATGATAAATTTGGTTTGGTGTGGTGTTTTTTAGTTTTTATGTGTCTAAGGTTCCTGGGTGTTAGATATGATTTGCTCTCAGATACTAACCTAAAGCTTAGTTACGCGTGACAATCAACTTCCGTAAAGATTGCAGTTGAGAAACCCCCGTGGGGCACCGTTCTACTTTCTAGCACACACATCTTCCATGAGTCAGATCTGACGCAAAGACACCTGGGTTTAGTAGCTCTGTGGTTAGGACATTTGGTTACTAACCCAAAGGTCAGTGGTGTAAAACCCACCAGTTACTCCATGGGGAAAAGGTGAAACATCTGTTTTCATAGATACTTACAACCTTGGAAAACCTATTGGATAGTTCTACCTAGTACTAAAGGGTCACTAGGAGTCAGAATTGACTTGATGGCAGTGGGTTTGGGTTTTTGGGGTTTACGTGACCAGCACTGGTGCTCCTGGGGTTACAAGTGTTACAACTTGTACAGAACAATACATCTAGTCAACACTTCTACTGCCCTCTCCAGTTTTACATCTTCATTCCGAAGAAGACCATCTTCCATTGAGGCTTTTCCTGACCACAGTATTTAGCATCTCAACAATTCTCCTATATTCTGCATTCTCTGCTTTAGCTTCCTTTGGATCATTTATCACAACCTGAAAAACTTACACATATTGTCTCTCTCCTCTGATTCAAATATAAATACAAATTCCTGTCTGTTTTGCTCTTTGCTATATTCCCAGCACCTAGAACAGTGAGAGGGGCTCAATAATGATTTTTTCAATGATTAAAAAAAGAAATAAAAGAACTTTAAAAAGCACTAAGTGTTATATATATCCTAAGACTGGGATTCCCCAAGGTTTCCACAGTCACTGATCAGCTGTTATAAATTGAGGGGAGTCCACTCACTGAGTATTCCCTAGGACAACCTACGTGGGGCAGGGAAGCCAGAATCCAGTGGGAGAAAGGTTGGAGTGATAGATAGCTGTAGTGGGAAAGGAAGTTAGTCCTGTGTCTTCCCCACCCAGTGCAGTCCCTGGAAAAACAATGCCTGCTGCTCCGTGAGCACCAGCCAGGAACTGCACAAGGACACCTCCCTCCTTTATAACTTCAACTGGGACCACTGCAGCAAGATGGAGCCTGAATGCAAGCGCCACTTCATCCAGGACACCTGCCTCTATGAGTGCTCCCCCAACCTGGGACCCTGGATCCTGCAGGTATGGGCACCACGTGCAGGGAGGGCGTGGCCTAATGGTAGAAGCAGCACTGCCTCTGCCACCAACCTCTATGTGGCTGTTGAGATCCCGGGCTGACAGACTCTTCTCCCTCCCCTCCCACACAGGTAAACCAGAGCTGGCGCAAAGAGCGCTTCCTGGATGTGCCCCTGTGCAAAGAAGACTGTCAGAGCTGGTGGGAGGCCTGCCGCACCTCCTACACCTGCAAGACCAACTGGCACAGTGGTTGGGACTGGAGCTCAGGTGAGAGCTGGGTAGTGAAAAGGTAGAAGTCCTACTAAGAAAAGTTTTAGTTGTAAAGTTTTTAAAAAGGACTTGGTGGGGTTGTTTTTTTTTGTTTTTGTTTGTTTGTTTTTAAGATTTCTAAGGGTTTCCAGAAATAAACCATGGCTAAAAGTCTGTGGTCACTATTTCTCCTTGCAGGAGTTAACAAGTGTCCAGCTGGATCCACCTGTCGCACATTTGAATCCTACTTCCCTACACCTGCTGCCCTGTGTGAGGGCCTCTGGAGTCACTCCTACAAGGTCAGCAACTACAGCCGAGGGAGTGGCCGCTGCATTCAGATGTGGTTTAACCCAGCCCATGGCAACCCCAATGAAGAGGTGGCGAGGTTCTATGCAGAAGCCTTGAATACGGCTGAGCTGCACCACGTTTGTCCTTACCTGCTTGGCCTCTGGTTGCTTGTCTATCTCCTTCTACCTTCTGATATCTAAGCATCACAGCTGTGTGGCCTCAGAGCTTCTAGTTACTCTGCTTCAGTTTCATAGTAAGGCCCACCAGAAGCCAGCTCAAATAAACTGACATCCTCCATACATGTGTCTTGTGGATTATTAATGGATAATTGGGGATGCCATTGTCTTGCTTTTCAATTTCTGATTGAAACCAGTTAGTTAGTTGGTCTATTTTCAGCTCCAACACTTTGCTATGAACTGGAGCTAGATACTTATCTACTATTCCAAACCACGACATATTTAGGGTTCTCAATCTCATCTTTACTGGATTCCTCTAATCTAGAGTCAGGCCAAAAATATTATCATTTACAAGTAGCCCCAAACCTCCCAGTGTTGACTGCTCTGCAATAGAAGAGACAGGAATGGGCGTGCCCAGCATGCTCTGGGTGGGGCACTGTGAAGAGGTTCAGGAGGCCAGAAGAGCTATGGCACCCGCAACAGCACTACCCACAAAACACTCTCTGCTGTTAAGAACTGTTCTGCATGCTTTGCTGGGGGTGGGGGGGGGGCGGGGAGGGAGGGTGAAAGCTGAGGGATGAGGAAGTGCGGGGGTGGGGTGGGGATTAATCATGGGATTGTACAATTTGATGGGGAGGTGAGGGAAATTGGAAGAATATGCTCTAAAAAACAATGTATTTGAATTTTGTAAATACACTAGAATAATTTTAAAAAAATATACTGTAAAAAATTAGAAAATCCCCACTTGCCATTGATGATCGTTCTTCTCTCCCATCATGGGAGAGTAAGAGGGAGAGGACGCAGTCTGAGTGGTAAAAAAAAAAAAAAAAATTAGAAAATCCATATAAGCAAAAAATAAAAAAACACATTATATGGAAAAAAATGCTTTGCTGTTTTTTCATATAAGTTATAGGAGGGCATGTAAGAAGTTGCAGAAATCCACCAGCTATATGAGAGAAAGATGGGCACTCTCCTCCTGGGTGATTTACAGGCTCTGAAAACCAGCTGAGGCAAAAAAAAAAATGGAAACAAAAACCAACAAACCAGGAGAGCTAACAAACCAGGTGGCCTAGTGGCAAGAAGCTGCACTGCAATCCCAAAGATATGGGGTTCAAATTCACCAGATGCTCTGCCAGAGAAGGAGAGGCCATCTCCTCCTGTACTAGTCAGATCCAATTTGGCGGTACACACAGAGAGAAAATAATAACAACAACAACAACAATAATAAACAACAAACCTGCTGGAAGATCAGCTGTGAGCTGGTTTTCACTTTAAGGCACATACCTAGTCAGTATACTGTATAATGAATGGCGCATACCTATTCAAAATACTGAATATCCCATCGACTGCTGAAAGAACAAACAGATAGGTTTTGGAGAAGGTGCAGCCAGAGTGCTCCCTTAGAGGCAAAGATGATAAAGCTGCATCTCACATACTTTGAATATGTTTCTAGGAGAGACTATTTCTTGGAGAGGGACAGCATGCATGGAAAGGTAGAGGGATGGCAAAGGAGAGGAAGACCCTCAACCAGGTGAATTGATACACTGCAGCAATGGGTTCAAATGTGTCAGAAATTGTGAGGATGACACAGAATAGGACAGGGTTCAGATCTGTTGTTCATAGGGTCACTATGTGTCATACTTGATTTGACAGCACCTAACAACAGTAATGACAGATAACAGCGTAACATGAGGCCCTGTTTTACAAATGTGGAAACAGGCATACAAAAGTAAAGAAAATAGCTAGAGTCATCCCCTCCATAAGAGCTTGGATTTCATCCTATGTGGTCTGGCTATGGAGAGCAAGCTGTTTCCCCTTGTGGAGTGGACAGATGTGTGTTTTGAAGGAATACTGGGTCAATGCCTGACCAGAAGAACTGGGCTTGAGCTGATCACTGGCAGAGCCGAAACAGGAAGCCAAACCAATACTCTAAAACATGTCCCAAACCAATAATTGGAAAGAGATTTTTAGGCTTTGTTCCCACTTTAAGTATAGTTTGTATCAGTTAAAATATGATAGGTTATGTTACAGTAACATCCCTAGTATCACAGTGACTTAACTCAAATATTTCTTTCTTGCTTAAACTACAGTATTTAATATGCATTATGAGGTGTGGGGTTGGGGAGAAGAATTCTGCTTCTTGTTCATGACTCAGGCTTACAGACACTCCATTTTGTCAGACTCTTCCATGAGGCAAGAATATATAGGATACTCTTCCTTGTCACAGCAGCATGTAGGAAACGTCAAGAATCTAAATTTCTGAGGAATATTTTCTAAGAGAACGTTTTCAAAGCAGCAAAGTATGTGACTCTCTCAAAATCTATCATCTGAGACAAACCCTATTCCACCCTAACTGTGAGGGATCAGTCAGAACAAGCTGGCAGTGGAGACACCTCTTGTGTAAGCTCCCTGTTGTCTAAGCACTAGTGGAGGGGTCGTGGGACACCCCCTTTTTGCTGTTTCTGCTCCCTGTATTTCATCCATTCTGACCTCATAATAAAAGTGGGTTTCAGGAGAGGGCGGTGAAGGAGGGAATTTGGTTTTGGTATGTTGTTGTTGTTATGTGCCATCGAGTCGCTTGCGACTCACAGCGATCCTATGTACAACAGCCCTAAACTCTGCTCTGTCCTGTGCCAATCACACTGCCTCTGACACTCCCATCCCGATTATCCCAGTCACTGAATCAATCCACCTCATAGGGGGCCTTCCCCTCCTGCTCTGTCTCTCCACCCTCCCAAGCATGATGTCCTTCTCCAAGGATCGGTCTCTCCTCACAACACGTCCAAAGTATGTGAGATGGAGCCTCAGAATCCTTGCCTCCAAGGAGCCACCCAGTTTAATCCTCTCCAGGACAAATCTGTTTGTTTTCCTAGTAGTCCATGGTATTCTCAATACTCTTCTCCAGCACCACAGCTCAAAGGCATCAATTCTCCTTCTATCCTCCTTGGTCATTGTCCAACTCTCTGATGCATAACAAGTGATTGCAAAGACCATGGCCTGCATCAGACGCACCTTAGACTCCAGAGAGACACCATTGCTCTTCAGTACTTTGGAGAGGTCCCTAACAGCAGACTTTCCCATGGCAATGCGCCTTTTCATTTCCTGGCTGCTGGTGCCAAGACTGTTGACTATGGAGCCAAGCAAACTAAAGCTGTGTACAATCTCAATCTCTTCACCATCCATCCTGATGCTGCCAATTGGTTCAGTGGTGAGAATCTTTGTCTTCTTGACATTGAGCCTCAATCCAAAGTGTAGGCTGCAGTCCTTGACACTCTGCAGCAGGTGCTTCAGGTCCTCTTCAGTTTCAGCAAGCAGCGTTGTGCGATATGCATAACACAGATTGTTGATAAATCATCCACCAATCTTGACCCACATTTCTCCTCATAGAGCCCAGCCTCCCAGATAATTTGTTCTGCATATAGGTTGAAAAGGTATGGAGATAGGTATAGATGGTGAAAAAGCCAGGAGAGATGCTTAGGAGATTGGCCTACTGACCAAAGATTTTTTTTTTGAAAGTTTATTCCAGTTGGCATAAGCAGAGTCCGCTAAATTGAGGGCTAGAGACCAGAGCCAGAACAAAGGAAAAGAACTGTATCATATGACTAATCGAAAAAAGTACATGAAGTACATTACCAAAAATACCAAAACACTTACCACAATCAACTCTCCTCACTAATTTTACTCATTCCTTTAAAATGACTTCTTGTTCCATGCTTGTAGCTTCTCTCTACAGACGTCTTCTTACTTTGGGACTGGAGTTTTCTGGAGATCTCAAGTCACAAGTTCCGAAAGTTTGAATCTTCCAAGGCTTGTTTGTGGTGATGTGCCAAATCCATTAGTCTATTTCGTGTTAGTAAATTGTAGCTGAACTCTGGGCAAACAAAAACAAAGCAGGAATAGAACCACCTGTGGACAGTATCAGCTGGTCTGGCCAATCTACTACAGCAATTTCCAATTGCAATTAAAGAGAATTTTCACTAGGGTAAGCTGAGATCTACTTGTGACTGCTGTATTCCATGGTCTTGGTTGATGACTCTTTTGAGAACACACAATTGGAACTCAAGAAAGAAGAGCAAGGATAAAAAGGTCTCACTAACAGCTTAACCAACAAGAAAAAAATGTATAAAAGTATTTAAGTAACAAAACATTTGTCATTTCCCCAATCTTTAGGGATTTTTTTTCACCAATCATTCCCGTTAGTCATTGCCAAATTTCCCCATCGCCTTTAAGAACTTATTTTAGACAATCCTACTTACTGTCTGCCTTATTTCTCTGGAGTACAGAAAACTTCATTGCCATGAAGCTGGATCAAACTCATAGTTGACTTTTCAGTGGGTTTTCAGAGGCTGTAAGTCACATGGCCAGAGATTGCCCCTCTTTCTCCCAAGCAGAAGCTGGTGGATTCAAACTGCCTGCCGTGGGTTGGTAGTACAACTCCTTACCCACCAAGCCACTTAAGTTATTAATCTTGATGACTTCAACATCTATTTTTGTTGAAGTTGTAAAATCACTACTGATAATGAACTAAACTCAAATTCATTCCAGTTGAATCAGAACTGACTCCTGACTGCCCCTGTAGTGGGTTTTCTGGAAGCTGTAAGTCATGTTGGAAGAGATTGCCTGTCTTTTCCCTGTGGAGTCTCTGGTGGCTTCAAACCACTGGAGTGGTGCTGCCTTTTGGTGAGCAGTGCAACTTTCTACAGACTGTGCCACCAGAGCCTTCCAAATGAAAAGGTAATTTCAAACCAAAGAATAAAAGCATCATGCAAACTAGTTTGTTGACAATCATGAAAATCAGGAACGCAAGGGTGCTTTTACCTATTCAGGAATGTCTATAATCACCAACTGCGATGGTGAATGTTATGTACCAACTTGACTAAACCATAAGTTTCTAGTATTATTGTAAATAATCTTCCATTATGATATTATGTAATTTTCCTTCATTTTACCTGTTGGAATCCTTACCTCTATATGTTAATAACACAAGTTTATTGTGGAGTGTATCTCAAATCACATCCTTACTCAAGTCATTGACCTTTTCCCCTCAACTCCACTTAGGTGGATCTGAGGAGGTACAAGAGTGTTTCCTGCATGTGCCTTGTGTGAAAAGGACTTTCAGAGCTGACAGAAGGTCTATCATACAGCAAGGTCAAGTGGCACAGGGGTTGGGACTAGACTTCAGGTAAAAACCTGGATGTTGGGAGGAGGTACAGGTGGAATGCAGAAATGGTAGAATTTGTTTTTTGAGGCTTTCTGGGCTGGCCAGAAATAAACTGTGGGAGCTTCAAGTCTGGCCCACCATCTATCTCCTTGCAAGAGTTAATAAGGATCCGGTTGGGGTCATCTGTTGCACATTTGAATTCTACTTCTCCACACCTGCTGCCCTGAAGCCCTCTGGGGTCACTCCTACAAAGTCAGCCACTACCGCTGATAGTGTGGCCACTACGTTCATATGTAGTTTGACTTGGTCCAAAGGTGTGAGGTTCTATTGGAGACTACAGGTGGGAATGGGCTGTTCCTGCTCAGCCTGGGTCTGATGATTGTTCTGGATAACTGACTTAGCAGACAATAGTATATTTAATAGTTTAACTATTAACACCACTAACACCACAATTCAAAGGCACTGACTCTTTTGTCTTACTCATTGTCCAACTTTCGCATGCATAACAATTGAAAACACAATGGCTTAGATCAGGTGTACCTTAGTTTTTAAACTGACATCTTTGCTCTTTAGCTAGTGCTGGGACCAGAGACATGCACTAGAAATCTGCACAGATGGGTTCTAGCCCTAGTTGCTGAGCGTTCTCAGACAGGTATTTGTACCGCTCTGAGGATGTGGAAACTGCAGTTGGAAGTGTGAAGAAAAGACTTGGTTGGGGAGGTGAGCGTTAAGACTCAGAGAACAGCATAGGTTCTGCTCCTGAGGGTTGGGCAGAGGCAGTGACCCTTCAGTCTAGGCTTACCTACCAGTTGGGAGGGAAGGGAGAGAGGTGGAAGACAACGGTGCTACAAGAAGGAGCCTGGTACCTGCTCCTGGGAAGCCAGGAAAGGTCGTTGACAGATTTCCCCAGAGCAACACAACTTTTGAATTCTTGCCTTCTACAATGGGTGTTTTTTGTGGATCCAGAGAAAGTTAGGGAAGGTAGTCAGGGAAATTCCTGGAAAGAGCACATGCAAGAGTGTGGAACTAAAAAAAGAAGAAAGTGTGGAATTATTCCAGCCCTGTTGTTTACTATAGGTGTAGGGGGAAGTGGATTGAAAATGTTTCTCGGCTTCCAGGAGCAGGTACCAGGCTCCTTTAGCACCGTCGCCTTCCCCGCCCGCCCCCTCTCCCCCCAACCGGTAGATAAGCCTGGACTGAAGGATCTCTGTCTCTGCCCAACACTCAGGAGCGGAACCCGCGCTGTTCTCTGAGTCTTACACTCACCTCCCCAACCAAGTCTTTTCTCCACATTCCCAACTGCAGTTCCCGCATCCTCAGAGTGGCACAGACACCTGTCTGAGAATACTCAGCAACTAGGGCTAGAACCCAAGTCTGCAGATTTCTAGTGCATGTCTCTGGTCCCAGCACTAGCATACTCCCTTAGGGTTAGGCTTACCTTCTCATGCACAGATAGAGAAGTGGAGAATAATGTGGAAAATGAAGTTTTGGACAAAGTCTGGAGACACTATTAGGTGGTGTGGAATAGGGGTCTAGTGCTTATATTTATCAGCTCTGAGAGATCCTACAAATCGAGCCACCTCCATGTCCCAGGCTTCGTTCCAGCTGTGTTAAGTCAATGGATATTAAGAGCGGAGGCAGGAACTCATCAGGACTGATCTGGAGTCTGTCAACAGGTTTAATTTAGTAAAGTGAAAGTTGTATTCGAGGTTAAAGGAGACTTTCGGCCCCAGGCCTAGTAGGTGGCGTCTGCAGGATGCACACCAGATGCCTGCGCCTTTAAGGAGCCAGGGGGCGAAGGGGCGGGGCAGGAAGCGGACTCCCCGGAGACGCCGCCACCGGCTAGGTCTTTTTTGGGGGGAAGGGGCGGGCCAGGCTCTCCCTCGGGCCCCGCCCCCTTCTCCGAAGGCCGAGTCCGCCTCTGGCCCTCGGTCTGGGGCTACGGTGGGGCTGGGGCGTCGGAGCGGACCGGCTCCGGGCGCTCCCACTTCGGCGTCCGGCCCGCAGAGCCGCAAGTTTGTTGACTTGTAGGGAGTAGCTGCGGCGGGGGCGGGTGCTAATAATACCCGTTGGTTCAGCCGTGCGCTTTACAGTTTACACAGCTGTCGCCTTCGGTACTCCTTAATTAATAATAAAAATAGCCGCCTCGCTGGAGCGCCTGCTGGCTGGCGTGACCTGTGCCGAGCTTTACGAGCACATCCCCATTGAGTCTGCCCTGCTAACGTCCCCATTGCACAGAGCGAGAAGCCAAGGCTCGCAGAGGCGCCGTGAATTAGCCGAGGTCACCGGGCGGGCCAGCGGCTCCGGGCCGAGCGCGGACCCCCCGGGAGGCGGGGCGCGGGTCCTAACCCCGGCTCGGCGGAGAGCCGCGGGGGCGGAGCGGCGGGCGGGGCGGAAGACGGGAGGGGGTGCGGCGACGATGGCCATCTTAAGTGGCCGCTGAGAGTCCAGGACCGCTTCCCCCGGGACGGGGCCCCGGAGCAGCCCCCGAGGTGGGGATCCGCGCGCGACCCCTGCGGCGCTGGGGAGAGGTCGGGAGTCCGGACACTTGGCAAGAACTCCTTTAGTTGGATGAAGGGGTGAGGGACTCCTTGCCTCCAACTGCTTAACGACTCTCTGTCCCGGGCTGCGGGTAATGGGGGTGGTGGTGGTGCCAGGGAACTTGGCCGAGCGGGGGAAGGGCTTCTGCCCAGGCTGGGAGGGGCTGCCAAGGAACGGGCGTGGGGAGTTCGAGGGCACTGGACCTTGTCTGGGTACGTGTGGGGGGATCAGATCTGTAGAAGACCCTTTGGTATTTGTTAGAGATTCGGGGTTCAGATTTGACACAGGGGCCAGACTTAACGGAAGTTGGGGGTCCGGCCCGCTCTGATGATGGGGAGAAGCTTGGAGGGGGATTCATCCCGCTTCCTTCGCAGGCTTTGGGAACTCGATTCGGTGGGACTGTATGGAAAAGATTTGGGGTGGAATGAACGTAGTATGGGAGTTAGGAGCCAGGTTATTGCGGCTGTAGAAAAGGGGCCGAATTCTCGGAGGTGGGGAGACTGGGACCCTGAAGAAAGGGGACGCACTGGGGGGAGGGGACACCTGATTCTCGATGGACTCGAGAGTGTCGTGGGAAGAGTGACCCTGCCGGTTGGCTAACCCTGTGGAGGGTCCGGGGTTCTGCAGGCTGGTGGGGAGAGCGTGATCCCCGCCGGGAAGAGGTTGGGGGCAGGGGCGCTCTGGGCGCCGGGCCGAGTGGAGGGGGAGGGGGCCGGCCGCCGGCTCTGCGCTCCCGCCCCTCCCCCGCCGCCTCCGAACAAACTTTTCTTTCTCTTCAAGTTGAAGCCGGCGCTGCCGGCGGCGGCGGCCGCGCGGCGAACGAGACGGCCTGCACCGAGGGGCCGCGGAGCCCGATTTCCCGCCGGCT